AGCCAGTCCTGGATGAAGTCAAATCACATTTCAATAATGGATGAAAAGTCATTTAGTGATGTGAACAGTTTGCATCTCTTGATCTGCAATGCCATCAAAATCTACATTCATGAATAAGCATACAACAATGATCCACAATCACATCTAATTGGACTCTTGAAGTGCAGTGGCAGTGTACCTACCTCTGGGCCATGAAGTCTAGGTTCAAATCCCATCTGCCTAGATGTATGTCCATAAGATGTTGGAGTAGGTTGATTAAAATAACTACAACAGTGACAAAAATCAATTGATAAAGCTTTCCTGATTTTCCATGGGAATCCCTAAGATTTTATTAATTCTAATAATTACCTTCAGCTCCTTTCTCCCCTGATTTTGTTCATAAACCTTTTCCAGGACAACCTGACTAATATGTTTAATTTTCCATAAACTGCCTGAAAAGGCAATACCTTCTACCTTGACAATGTACAAAGCCACTGCTTTTTCCTGAGCTTGAATGGGTGGTTGGGACAGCTTAGGAATATTCCAGTGGTAAAAGTGGAGCGAGATTGTTACTTGTATGATATGAGAACATAAGAACAAAGAAACAGGAGCAGGACTAGGCCATCTGGCCCTTCGAGCCTGCTCTGCCATTCAATAAGATCATGGCTGATTTTTTTTGTGGCGTGAGATCCACTTACCCACCCTCTCACCATATCCCTTAATTTTTTGAGAAGTAAAAGAATTAGCTTTAAAAACATTCAATGAGGAAGCCTCAACTACTTCACTGGGCAGGGAATTCCATGGATTCATAACCCTTTGGGTGAAGAAGTTCCTCCTCAATTCAGTCCTAAATCTGCTCCCCCTAATTTTGAAGCTATGCCCTCTTGTTCTAGTTTCACCCGCCAGTGGATACATCCTCCCTGCTTCTATCTTACATAAAATTATGAAGGGAATCGATGTTTCTAAAAGAACCACCCCCTCATTCTTCTAAATTCCAATGAATTCAATCCCAGTCTACTCAGTCTCTCCTCATATGCCAACCCTCTCAACTCTGGAATCAACGTAGTGAATCTCCTCTGCACCCCCTCCAGCGCTAGTACATCCTATCTCAAGTATAGAGACCAAAACTGCACAGAGTGCTCGAGGTATGGCCTCACCAGCACCCTATACAGCTGTAACATAACCTCGGAGACAGCATAAACTGCAAATGCTGGAGTCAGAGACAACAGTGTAGAGATGGAGGAATTTCTGAAGAAGGGTCCCGGCCTGAAACATCGATTTTCCTGCTCCTCTGATGCTGCCTGGCCTGCTGTGTTCCTCCAGCTCCACACTGTGTAACATAACCTCCCTGCTTTTAAACTCAATCCCTCAAGCAATGAAGGACGACATTCCATTTGCCTTCTTAATTACTTTTGCACCTGCAAACCAACCTTCTGCGATTCATGCGCAAGGACACCCGGGTCCCTTTGCACAGCAGCATGCTACAATGTTTTAACGGTTCAAATAATAGTCCTTTTTACTGTTATTAATTAATATTAATATTAATATTATTTTACTGTGTTTGGATGACTTCACATTTATCAACATTGTACTCCATCTGCCAGACATTTGCCCACTCAAACTATCTATATCCCTGTATATTCACTGCCATTGAGAGTGAAGAAAATGTGCGTTGTCTTATTTAATAAGTTGCAGTTGAATAAAGGGGGCAGATTTCTTAAAATTTAGATATCTCATCATAGGAAACAAAATGATGGCAAAGAAAGCAGAATACAGCTTCGGAGGATTTAGCAGCAGGAAGAGCATCCAGCCTTTCTGTTAAAGCAGTGATTGTGCCGCTCCCAGTGCCTTTAGCTGGATTAAAATTTCACAAAACTACAAAATAACCAATTTACTAACACTCATATTATACCTTAAAACAAAGTCCAAATCTATTCTCGCATTTTTAGGAAAATTCAAACTCGGAAATTTTTCATTTTTTAAAGCAACTTTAAAAAATGCCATAAAATTACACTCAAAGAAATACTAAAAAAAAGCATAAATCCTAGAAAGGATAAATACATGTTTTAAACAGTGCAAACAAATTACAATAAATGAAACACCTGCTGTTGTCTGCGCTCAGTGCTCTATTTTAATCTAATATGAACCAACACCATTGCAGCAGGCTCACATTGCCTGGGGGTGGAGACATAATAACAAACTGAGATGGATTCCAGCTTAAAGATCAACAGATTAGTATAAAACAGCAAGGAAATTTGGGCATAACATAAGTATGTATGTAACACCCCTGCACTCATATTTTCACAACTGTTTACACTGGGGATTTGGTTTTTGTCCCTAATATACATGATGAAATTCTACCCTATAGAGTTGTAGAAAACTGCAGCACAGAAACAAGCCATTGTCCTGATCAAAATTGCTTGTCATTTAGTCTAAGCTTAGTCAGTTCTTATACTGTTAAGTTTCCACCAACTGATATCTAGTTCAGCAATAGTTTGCAGCAGAAAATTCCAAATCTTGAGATACCCTTTTAGGTGATCTTTATTTCTAACATCCCTGCAATTTTTTGATAATTTTAAAGATGTGGATTTTTACAACGATCTCATTCATCATTAGTTTGTCCTACTCATAGGTCCTCGTAAATCTTCAAGATTTCTGTTAGGCCACCTTCTAATATAAAACACCTTCCAATACGAAATATTTTCTAATCCTTTCATCTTGAATAAAAGAAGCCCTAAGGTCTGAAGTCTTTTTTTATAACTGTAACTTGTTATCCCTAGAAAGGAAAGAGTGAATGTCCATTGTATCTTTCCATTGCTTTTAAACTGCTTCTATAATGGCATGCCAAAACCTGCACACAACATGTCAACTGCAGCCTAAGATCTTACACAAATTCACCACACCTCTACTTGTTAAAAATTTTACGCCTTGAAGCAAAGCGTACAAAAGAAACATTACTGTTTCAATATTCAGTTAATTTCTTATGGTAGAAATCAATAACAGTTTGAGGCCCATAGCTTTCTTTGATTTGAGAATTATCCCTGATTCATTGCAATTTTGGCAATTTCTTGGGCTAACAACTTGATAAACATCTGCACAAAACAACTTCTAGAGCAACCTCACTTGAACATCACAAATGCAATATATTTACATACTTCATTGAAAATTGATTTAATGTATAGCAACAGCTGTAATTCACACCCACTCAATTCAGCAGTCTTCAAATATAGTACATCTGAACAAGACCATTGACTTTTTAATAGGGTTGCAGTTCCATCAGTCTCATAACGGGTTGGGAGACTAGAGGAGTAACAGCAAAGAATTGACAGTAATACTGCACAATTTTTATCTTCAGTAACTCTAAGGGGTAGATTTTCACAGAGTTGAAATGTGTCAACCAGAATAGTTTCGAGATTCCCAAGGCTGTTTCCAGCATATCTAATTATCTTCAAGAAGCAATAAATATGACAACTGTGGCAGATTGTAAGTTCTGAATTCCCAACATCAATGACTCTGTTGTGGGAATAGGCACCTCCTCCCCACGTTATTTTTATGGATCCAGGCTAACGTTTCTCATGGAAATATTTTTCAATTGTTCAATGATTATTTACATAAGATAAGCAGGTGTCAGGTGTTTGGAGTTTCTGCTATTGGTTTTTTAAATATCACACTGATTGACACTCTTTAAGGTCTCTAGTAAAAGTTGATTATTGTAGAAAGCTGATTGAACTTTTTTTCATATCTATTGGGTGCATAGGCATGTAAGTGCCAGATTTGTATAGTGGGTATGAGGGGCCATGGTGGAGGTGGGGTGAGATATAGGTTAATCTGGTGGTATGAGGGCATGGGGAAGAGTGGGTAGAAATGCATAGCTTGGTGTAGAGAATATAAGGAACCATGGTGGAGTGGGTGAAGGACATAGGTTGCAATGACGGGTGTGACAGGCCACAGGGATGGGTGGACAGCACAGTTTGGCATGGAGGCTGTGCAGAGACATGTGGCCTATGTGGAAGAGTTGCCTTGGAAGGTATGAGAAGCTATGGAAGATGATTGGAGAGGCATACCTTAGCATAAAGGTATGTGGGGTTATGGGAGAGGGTAGAGGTGCATACCTTGACGTGGAGAGTATTGGGGCCATGGAGGATTGAGGGGGACCATAGTATTGAAGGAGAATGGTGGGTGTTTGACTGTGTGCAATGGGTGAGAGTGAGGGCTGTTTTCTGTCTCATTACTTTTATAAAACTGAGATCAGGTCCCAGAACTCTGAGGAAGGTCTTTTTAAACTGTTTGCCTCAACAACTAACAGGCCCTGTAGCTGCCACAGAACTCTTAAGGGGCAGCAGGCCCAACTCTAAAACTAATGATTCCCAACAACAAAATGCTGCCTTGTGGACATTTTATTTGTAGGGTGGATCAGTGGCTGAGGTGAGAAATTTTGATTCTTAGCGCCTGCCTTGAAGAATAAAAATCCAGCTCTAAATGATTGTCTTAACTGCAGTCTTTTCAGACAATAAACTGAATTGTATATCACATTTTGTTTTACTCAGTTTAAACAATGACATTAGGTTGGATTGACTATGGGCTACGTGTAGTTAATTTGCAAATGCCAATGCCAGGAACACCACCACCATCTGAAACTTCTTCTTCAAGCCATTCACCATCCTGACTTGGAAATATATCACCTTTCCTTAAGTATCGCTGGATCAAAATTCTGAAATTCCTTCCCTAGTGGCATTATAGGTCTACATACATGGATTGCAGTATATCAAGATTTCAGCTCATCACCACCTTCTCAAGAACAACTAAGGACCGGCACTAAATGCTGACCCAGCCACTGATGCCCACATCCCACTAGTAAATAGAAAAGAATGAAGAATATCATTATGAATCACTATACAGAGTATAAATCTTCCCCAACACTTCTTTACCAATAGGAAACTTATGTATTTTTAGCTTCTTTATTTTGACTGCGAGAATAACGTCAGTGAACAAACTTGATTTATAATTAAAAATACATATACCTTTACATACAGTTGCTGGAATTCATCCAGGTTCAGTCTGCCACTAGGACAGTCTTTAAGAAATCCTTTGTACCATTGTTTGAGTTCGTGTTCATTAAATTCTGTGTTCTTCACCAGATCTTCCATGACCTCAGGGGCAAGTTTGCTGTTCTGTTTCCCCATTGTCCCTGAAAAGACAAAGTATGGCATTTAAAAAGGTAATTAGTCATCATGTTAATTCAACATTCTCAAGTGCTGGATATAAGTTTTCAATTTTCCAATGGCAAATAAGTAATTTTATTCATTATGATATGGATGATAATCAGTAACACGATGGAGAAACAAAAGGATAAAAGAATGTGCAAATATTGTAATAATGCCTGGCATATTCAGTACATGAGAAACTATAGTGAAGACGGCACCAAAAGTAATGAACTATTTTTCACTCATCTCATTTATGACGGAGCTTGAATGCTTGCTAGTAAAAAGCAATTTTTCTTGTTGGTCATGGGTGGGAAAGGAATTTCCTTTATCCCCTGACGTTTCCTGAACACTGGGCTGGATTGTACTGATGCCACCCACCCAATGGAAATGCTGGTCGTCACCCTGCTTGCTAGAAACCCAGCTGTTTTAGGGTCAGCCTTAATGTTTCAGGGTGAAATTTGCAGTCCTATCTTGGAAGAAGTCCCACCCTACAAATCAGCTAGGTAATCCGATTGGCAGACAGTTCTGTAGGCCCAGCAGTGCTAGGATCAAGCTATGGCTATTGCTGGAATTAAAGGCAGTCCCTGAGGAAGAGGCTGTTGGACACCGGACTAAGAAGGCAAGTTTGTTTGGGAGATCCCATCGTAGGATGAAAGGAGTGCAGGGCTCAGTCAGAAAAGCCAGGGAAAGGGGATTGAAGAATGGGGGGATGGTGGTGGCACAGTCAATCAATGGAATATTGACTCTGATAGGCATAGGGGATCCCCAAAAAGAGGTTCTCAAGTTCTTGCCCAGTAGTAGCCCTCTCAATGAAGTCTGCCTCCACCTTCCCCTGCCACACATAATTTAGAAGTAGAAGCAGAGTGATGCCCTTAAATGGCCAATAACTGGTCATTTATGGGTCTACAAAGGCTTAAGGGCAGTCACCTGCCTTGGCTCACTGTAATACGGGAGGCAGGCTGTGATCGGACAAGTGGTAGAAAGGCCATTTGATGTCTGTCCTCATGCCTCTAACATGCAGGGGTGGTGAAATATTAAGTAAAGTTCATTACATCCAACCCAACCCAATATGCCGAACTCTGGATGAAATGGTATTGCTGCTGAATGTCAGTCTTGACTTCCATTAAATTGACTTGCCAAATCTCATGCAAACTTTTGTTATTTACATAATTGGTATTTATAATTGTTTACATACACCCATGCTCAAGGCAATAGGATTTCAATAATGAAATGTTAAATTGCAATTCTATTTCTTCCAATAAATTAAAATTTAATCCATGCCACAAGAATATGACACAAGGTTACTTTTCATTGTAACAAAAACTGAAAGAACTGTGAATGCTGTAAATCAGGAACAAGAACAGAAGTTGCTGGAAAAGCTCAACAGGTCTGGCAGCATCTCCAAAGAAAAATCAGAGTTAATGTTTTGGGTCCAGTTTCGGGTTCTGAGGAAGGATCACCGGATCCGAAACGTTAACTCTGATTTTTCTTCACAAATGCTGCCAGACCTGCTGAGCTTTTCCAGCAACTTCTATTCTTGTTACTTCTTATCTTAGCCTGTTGAAAATGTATTTGTTTACACAATATAAATTAATTTGTAGAAGGTTATAGGGGAATTTAATATTTTTCATCATTTTTAGATATGTTGTAAACAATGTTGATCCCTAAGATTTCATGCACAGGAGAGAATAGCTGGTTACAAAAAGCAAAAATACAATTCAGATGCAATTTTGAATTAAGCTACCAATATAGGGTGCAGCTGATCCACAATCAGAATCATCTTGTAACTATTCACAGAAGAAGAGCAGTCAGCTTCGGAACAGCAGATTCTAAATTAACTCAGTATACTTTCAGCAAAGTAGATTGGAAATACACAGTCGGATTTTACAGATGAATGTGGACCAACTTAACTCCCCAGAAAATTCCAAGTGTATCCATGTATTCACACTGCCATTGAATAAGTTTAGTTTGAATGATTACAGAGGATGGCAAAACAAACTGCATCATACTTTGTTGCATGTCCATAACTGTGATTGATCTCGATTACTGTTGCACAGACTCTGGCTGCAAACAGCCTCAGATTCACTGCAGAGTACCTTTGCTCAAGCTTAATGGAACTAAATCAAATTGTTCTCAGTTGCAGTTTACTTATTACAGTCCATTGTCAACCAGCACGTTGTGAAATAGGCTGATGAAATGCTGCCCTTTCTCAGAAAAAAAAGCTAGTTATTCATAGCATTCTTATCTTGCAAGGCCTACAACAGTTTTTTTTTAATATAATGGCTACCAAATGAGAAGGTTCCTTTAATGCTGATTATTCAAAAATATAAATCTGGATCCTTTAATATTTACTGTACAATATTTCCACTTGTGAGGCACTAACAGTGTGATGAAACTCTCTAATTGTAAATGGATGTTAAAACATGGAAACAAATGCAAAGTATTTTAAATAGATAATGAATCTGGTTAAGAGGTCAGACATCCAATAGTCTGTTCATGCAACTGTACCTATTTGAAAACATTGTTTATCAGCTTTTTCTCTTCAATCAATTCCATCAATTGCAAAATGTTTATTTATACAAGTTAAATTGAAGTCAAAAACTAATAGATTCTGCTATTGAAACTTTAAATGTCTAAATGTTGAAACTTTTATGGGTCTGTAGTGAAAGCAGATTTTAAGAAGTTATGAGCTCATGACTTTTTTTTAAAAAAATGCTTCCCCACACATAGTATTCTGATTCCTGGGTTCATTAGTTCTGTACTAAGGTACAAGGGCTTGTCAGTTCTACACACTGGAATGGAGGGAATGAGGAATCAGCAGGTTTGGGGCGGGGGTGTACAGCGAGGTGTTGACATGAGACACTTAGGAATGTATGATATGGATGGGGAAATGGGAAATGTGTGGGTGGTGAAGGGGTGCAGGGGCTAGAGGGCTAATTCTTGTTTGATTGTGATTACAACTAGAAGCAGAACACCTAAGTGGGCCTTTTAACCAACGCTCCCTCCCCCACCTCTCGACAGCTAGCAGCCCACGTGGCTGCCTCCCAACACTTTCCAGGTGTGTGGCATGCTTGAGTCCTGCTATCATCTGCACAAATCTCACTACCCACTTCTAGGATGAGAATCCAGCCAAATTTAAATTAAACTATTACATCTTTTCCCATTGCTTTTATTCATTCAGTTTGGCACTCAGTTGAAATTGCAATTCTGAAGTATGTTTGTTTACTCAGGGAGTTTTATGGTCTCCTGGATACAATCCAATTGCCTGATCCTTTTGTAAGTGCTTCATATTGTTTGTATAGCTACTTTGAAGAGTCTGTTTGTTTACTCAGAGTTTTATGCACTGCTCAATGGCTTTCAATGTAATAGGGCTTGCGAGTTTGTTCATAAAATGGATAATGGGTGATAGAGATGAGGAAGGGGAGTGTTTTTGAAGAGGTCAAGTGGCTCAAATGGTATTTTATGCCTGGTAAAAACCGAAAGAACTGCGGATGCTGTGAATCAGGAACAAAAACAAAGTTGTTGGAAAAGCTCAGCAGGTCTGGCAGCGTCTGTGAAGAAAAAAAAGTTAACATTTCAGGGTCCAGTGACCCTTCCTCAGAACTTTTCCCTTGGTGGGCAGAACTGAGGAAGGGTAACCAGACCCGAAATGTTAACTCTGTTTTTTTCTTCACAGATGCTGCCAGGCCTGCTGAGCTTTTCCAACAACTTTGTTTTTGTCGCCTTCACTATGGAAATCTGGCCAACTCTTTTACAAGTTTTCTTCTCAGCCATTTTCTCCCAGAATTGCAAACTACTTCCTTCCTGACATCTCACCCTTGTGAGCATAGCTTCCACCTTCACATTACCTCTTCTGCTTTCAATCAGATAAATACTGCAATAAATCAGTTGGGCTTTGAACTACCTACACAGTCCCTTAATCTCCCTTTCCCTATCTCCTTTTGTCCAAAGATGTGCAGGCTAGGTGGATTGGTCATGCTAAATTGCCCGTAGTGTTCACGGATTTGTACATTAGGAGGGTTATAGGGGGATGGGTTTGGGTGGGTGCTCTGAAGGTCGGTATGGACTTGTTGGGCTGAAGAGCCTGTTTCCACACTGTAGGGATTCTATTCTATTCTATTCTATTTTTGTCAGTCTCCATGCTCTTTCCATGCATCCATTGTCTCCTTAAGACAGATGATGAAAGGGCAAAAGCAAATATATCATCGGAATGTTACCATCCCTTCTGAACATCTTAATGTGTTAAACAAGTGTTTTGCTTTCAACTTTTTTTTTTAGGAAATACTGCAAAAATAAGGAGAGATCGAAATAAGCTATAAAGCTGGCACCATCCTCCCCCAGTTCTCTCAGAAATGTGAAGTACGTCGCTAATGTTACCACTTCTAACTGACAATAAAACACAGGTGGAGTGATTTAATTTGCTGAATTTAAAACTAGACTGACCTCTTGTAGTGCAGTGATAGTGTCCTTACCCCTGGATCAGGAGGCCTGAGTTCAAATGGGGAGGCAGTAGCCTAGTGGTATTATTGCTGGACTGTTAATCCAGAGACCCAGATAATGTTCTGGGGACCGAGGTTCAAATCCCACCACGGCAGATGGTGGAATTTGAATTCAATAATTATCTGGAATTAAGAATCTAATGATGACCATGAATGCATTGTCAATCGTCAGGAAAAAACCCATCTGGTTCACGAATGCACTTTCGGGAAGGAAACTGCCATCCTTACTTGGTCTGGCCTACATGTGACTCCAGACCCACAGCAATGTGGTTGACTCTGAACTGCCCTCTGGGCAATCAGGGATAGGCAATAAATGCTGCCTAGCCAGTGATGCTCTCGTCCTGTTAATGAATAAAAAAAAGCCTCACCTGCTTTAGAGATGTGTAATAAAATTTCTGAACAGGCTAGAAAAAAAAAAGTTGAAAACTAAATTGGGCCAGTAACAAACAAAAACAAAAAAAAAGTCACAGTGATTTGGTGATGAG